AAGTAATCCCACTGTAGATGTTCTCCTGGAATTGCGTCTGATGGGMCTTTTTTCCTGTGGTCATGTAAGGTGACACAAATGCTGGCAGTGGGAATATATTTCAAATTGAGCTACATGAAAAATGTAGATTTAAGGTTATATTTTTATTTTGGATCCTTTGCTGAGATATTGGAAAGAATTGAGCATTCCTGTACTGGAAATAAGTGAGTGAACTAGAATGAACTTTTAAAGTGACCTTGCTTGCTGTTTAATGTTACACTGCTTCCTTGATGTTATGCATGCACGGATCTTGGCAGTCTTATAGTAAATCTAAGAATTATCAGTTTCACTACAAGAGGGTAGACATATATAAAATGCTTTCTCTAAAGATCAGGTATCAACACAGCTTATCTTGGCTTGAAGTAAAAAGAAGTSCCTCTTTGTAATTAACTTCAGTCTCTCAGTAAGCTGYGTCTACCACCAAYTATTACTRTAGTCCTAGTATTTTTTAAGTTAGCATTATCTCTATTTTGGTTTAAAATCGGCTACCTTTAGGTTGTTGGAAGTTAAATACCAAGCTCCCTGATTTTGTACTACTATGGATCTCGAGATTCGGCAAGACCTAGCTCTGTTCCTTCCATTTCTTTCTGTGCATAGTTAAAGCAGAGCCATCCTCAGCTGGATTATGCCCAGTTTCACACTCAGAATCTCTCCTGTCCTTTCTGAAGGAATAAATCTGTCTTCCCCACCACTCTGATCTCTGCCTTCTRTTAAGCTGCCTGAAATCATACTTTCCTATTTTTCTTCTCACTTTAAATTCTTCAGTTGCTTTGTTTTGCTGCTATTTTTTKCTTTGACTTCTCGTACTTCCATAAGATTCATTTCCACTCCTGCAGCATCAAASAATAAGATTTGCTTCTTTGAGGCATCTGGGTTGCTTGTGATGCAGAGATGAAAGGACTCCTTTCCACACAATTCCATGGCATTGTCAGGGATATGTAATATGAGTATGAATTCATAGTCTGCATTACTTTGAATTGTCAGTCATATTTGAATTCAGAGGAGATAACCTGGAGCTTCAAGATTTGAAGAAAAATGTGGTACTGTTAGTTGTTGCTTACTTTCATGCTGCTTTTGGCAGCAGTAAAAATAGTATTCCACCTATTTACATATTTACATACTTCTTCCAAACAACCCTTTTGTGAAAGGAGCTAGACATTTGAACAGTGCCAGTAGAGTAACTGTGCATTTGCCTTGCTAATTTAAATGGAGAGTTTTGCAAATACAAAGGCTCCATATATATATATTTGGGCTCCTGAATGACTAGCTCTAGTTGAAATAAATAATTTTGCAGGAACTCAGCAGGCGATAGCACAATGAGATGCTAACTTGGTGGATACATCGTGCCATATTCAGGTCTCAATTGAGCATTTATAGATGAAGAAATCTATCTAGAAATTTAGGCTGGATTATTGGTGTAATCAAGTGTAGTATTTTACTTTTGAGTACTTAATGCTGCAAGGTGGGAGTGTTCTTAACAGAAGTAAATAAGAACTGAGTAAGAAATAGCTGATTTATCATTTAAATACCCCAAAAGTTACTTTAACATGTTGATGACAATGGTTTTTTTCAGATTTGAGAAGGATTTGAGCATTTTGTAAAATGGAAAAAAGAATAGCCAAACCCTTCCAAAATTTGTGATGTACTGTTTGTTAAGTGCAAACTGTTTGACATTCAGTCTATTTTCACATTGTCACTTTTCATGTTTATGATGGACAAYGTTAAACCTCTCCTCACAAGAACTGTGTATTTTATAGCTTGGATTCCTCTAAGCTTCCCATGACACGTTTCTTTTGTTGAGACGAAACTGAGTTTCAAATAAGAATTCACCTTTTGCAATATTACCTGCAGGGAAAAATTGCTTYTCTTGAGAATATGTACCATGATAAACGTACACAAGCTGTTCCAGGAGTTCTAAAATAGTTCCCCAGCACAAACACATTCAGATTTCACAATTTTTACCTGTAGTATCACTTGCATTAAAATTAGTGATTCAATATTAGTAAAATACTTATGAATTTTTATAATGCTTATAAAAACCACCTGCATATATAAAGGCTTGGAATTTTAAAGAACTGTCTGAAGAATTCTGAAGACTGGTAACAAATAGAAAATTTACACAAAAAGCATAAATCTTGATTGCTTCTTTTTAGTAACAAAGTCTTTCTGTATCAAAATTGGGTAGTGCAATAGCTTCCTGGAAGTGTAATTAAATGTCTTATATCATTCCAGTTTCTTGCTTTGCTTCATGCTGACACAAGACTACAGAATGTCATGAAAATACATAAACTAATTTCTCTACTTAGTCTTGAAATAAGCTGCTCTGTCTTCCTTAGTTTTGAGCGGTAGAAACAGTAAGACACACACAAACCAGTGGGGCTGACAGGATGAATAAACTGAAAAGTTTCTCCATACCCTCAAAAGCAGGAAGTCAGTTGCAGGGAACTAAACTGCATGTTATTAGAAATATGTTTAAAGTTTCATCGTTACATCCACTACTGCCTTAGTATTGAATTATATGCAGCCACATAATAAAAAGTAAATGAATAGAGCTCTGTACTTACCATAGTTTCAGCCTCTCCGTCTCTACAAGTCTGCTAAAGGGTATGTACTGTACTAGGGAGAGTCAAAAATGTTCTTTGTCCTTCACTGTGCACTTCCTTTTTTGAAAGTGTATGTGGTCTATCCAGCCTTCACAGGAAAAGATATCAGCAAAATCCTTGTTTTGCATATTATCAGAGGCCTAACAGAATTTTTAACAGCATTTGTTTGGGATACACTGCTCTACTGTGAAGGACAAATGACAGTGAATAAGCGCTCATTCATTTTATGGCCTCTAAGATGATCATGAAAAAATAGGTCTATGCTGATGAGAAAATCATATAGTTATGTTTTCACTAAACTTTGGCTGAATTAAAAAAAGAAAAGCAAATATGTTTTGTTCTGTATTTTCATACTGAAGTCCCTGAGCAATTTTGTATTTAGGCTTTATTGTTGACTCCATGTAGCTCTCCTCCTTGCTCGGGTTTTTGTGGAGGTTAAAAATCAAGTCATTTTCTGTGCCTAATAAGCAGGACTGTGTTTCTGTTTGCTAACACCTGGTTGTTCAGACCCTTGTAATGAATATGAGTGGCAAGGTAGGGTTGTCCTGGTCAAGTAGGCTGTTGAATTCAAGTCATGCTACCACCAACTTTATGCACAAAGGGAGGAGAAAAGGAAGATTTSGCCATAAATGTCCCTGAGTTGGGTCTAATGAAGRGAGCTAAAGAGAGGTAACTTTCAGTCAGCTGAATGAGGATAGAGGAAGGAAAGASGAGCTGCRTGCTGGGGAGGGAGGACACTGTTGATTTTGGGTGTTGTCCACCTACTAAGTAAAAACTCATAAATGAGTTTCCATTAAGTAAGACAGTAGCAGTGGGGAACTACTATGAAGTAGCGCTATGAATAGTGCATATTAAGCAGTTGGGAACAAATGCAAATGATAGTGAAATAATGGAAATGATGCCTGTGGCACAAGCAGGATGTGAGCTGCGTTCTGTGATGAAACTGGGATTTCCTCATAATCTCAGGACTACACCACTGAAAGGCTGCATGACATTGCAAGCTCTGAATGATTTTCAACTAAACTTTGATTATTCAAATAAACTATATATCAAAATAAGCAGCAAAACCCACTAAAATAGTGTAGTGGTAAGAAGAAAATATATTGCTTATTTTCTAAAAGGTAGAAAGTTGCTAGGACAGCCATAGGCTTTGCTGAAGAACAGTATTGTGCAACACAGAATAGATTTGAAAGATCAATTTGAAATATATGTAACTATATTAACAAGTATCATTAATGATGGATTATGTCTGAATAGCTTAATATTATTTAAAAATATTTTGATGGGCATTTGAGGTAAAAGGTAATGAAATCTATCTAGATTTAAGTGGAGTATTTATATAATGCCCTCTAAATGATGGAGCTGGGGAGAGGACAAAGGCTGTCAGAATAATTTCAAGGGAGATAAGGTGCTGGCTAAAGTAGTATTTACTTAAAAGCAGAAGAGAAATTCCTGTAGTGTTCTGCAGGCTTGGGTCTTGAAATTGATTCTGTTTGTTACTTGTGTCAGGAACCTTGGTGGTGGAGCTGGACTTGTCCTAGGGGGCTGAGACTGAATGGTGCAACTGTTTGGGGGGTGACTCGGTCCCATGGAAAGGAGGGAGGAGACTTTGTGTATCAGAGARTAGAAACCAAGCCAAACTTTATTAAAAACAAAGAGGCCTTGGGAACTCCTGCTTTTCTGCTTTGTTTTGGGGCATTTGATGTTTTCAGGCTCATTTGTGGTGGTCAGGAGGTGAGGAATGAAGGTTTCAAGGGACTTCTCCAGACAGGAGGCAAGAGATTGGTCTTGTTGATCTGGTGGCTTCTGTCTTTTTTTTTTTTTTTTTTTTTTCAAATTGCTCAGTCCTATAGATGTTAGTTCCTAACTTTTAAAAATAAATATATTTTATTGAGCCTTCTATGTGGATCTCCTACTGCCTAGCTGCATAGTGTCTTTTTTTTTTTTTTTTTTTTTTTTTTAAAAAAAGAGGGACACTAATTTCTTCCTCCTGACTAGTTAACCCTTGCTTCCCTTCATTAAACTTCTGGGAATTTTGCATGTGAGAGCTGTGCATCCTCCCCACATGCAACCCAGTTTTCTTGCAGTCGACCAGCAGGTTAAAAATGTTACTGAGACAGACTGACAAATAGGAGCAGCACCCCTACAATCCCCGTAGCCTTAATTTCTTTGGAAATGCTGCTAAGATTATAGTAGTACAGCTTCTGTATCCCTTTGTGATGTACCTTTGCTTTTGGATAAAAATCTGAAATACAAAATAAAATATCCAAAATACAGCTTTTGATGAGGGAGCTCCATTGCTAATTCATGTTCTAATGACAGCAGCAGGCAAGTAAGATAAGGAATGCAGCCACTGCAGGTGTTCACCTCCAGTAAAATGTTTATTGATTTATAACTTTGTTTTGATTAGTGATGATTTAAGCTGTGATGCTTGGGAGTCCTGGTTTTCCACTGCTTTGGGTAGCTAACTGTCCAGCAGGAACTTTGATTTGTAAAATCAGCTTGGAATTCCTTCTTGTTGTCTGAAAAAGAAGGAAGAATAGTGAAGAAGTGATGGCATATAGTTACTGCAACAAAAGCAGACATTTGCATATATTGTCCCTAATTTTAGGTGAATTAGTACTCATGCCTTAGTATGCAGTAATGTGCATTAATACATATTTAATAATTTTTCTTAAATATGGTTGTAGTAGCTCTTATGAAGAATTAGTTAAAATGTGTATTGTGACTTTTGGAAGTGTTGAGTATGTAATTTCCATGGGTTTCATCTGGAAGAATGAGTGCTCAACAGGTCTGAAATCATAGGAGCCAGTTAGGATAATTTTTTTCAAAAAGCCTTCACTGTGCCACAGAAGAGGAAACATATATGAATATGTATGTCGTGAATAGTTATCCTGCTATTTGCCMTTGTGGCTGACTATAAATATCTGTGATGTACTGCAGAAATAAAATCAAGCTGCTCATGAGAATTTTAAAACAGGGACAGCTGCATGGCCTCAGTCAAAGGCAAATTGGATACCCTGTTTCTGRTAGCAGGCAGCAGTCTGGGGAAGAATATACATGAACAGGGAAACACAGAAATAAATACTTCTCCAGAATTACTTCCCCATTCCCCCAAAACTGACATTTCAGAATCTTCCAGGCCTAGTGTCACCATCTGCATGTTTTGAGAGCCTTGAATTAATTTGCCCTGAGCTTTTTAAAATGCATATTTAGGTTTATGTATATTATGAAGGATCATTCTTTAGTTTCTTTTGCAGATGTCACTGCTATTTTATTTAATATCTCCTAGTTTTTATATTTGTCTTTCTCATGTCACTCATGATTTTAAAGCTCTATACTGTATCTCCTCATTTTCCTTTTTTCCAACTCCTGAAATAAATTATGAAGAGAGAAGCTTTGGCAGCCTTGAGATGAGATGCTGCTGAAAGCAATGTGTAATTCTGCTAGGTCTATTTGATTTCCCTGCATGTCAGCATGTGCCTGGTCCTCTTSAGGGTGCTTCACCAGTAGAGGACTGGACATAGCTGGACTCTACTGAAGGTGAGACAGAGCTGGCATGAAGACATCTTCTGATATGCATCTTGGCCTTGGTGGGGGTCATCTTGATGGCTTACCCTCATGATGTCTCAGTGATGACATGCACAAGATCCTTTCCCTGTCTTGGAAAGTTACTAACTTTGTAACTAGTTCTGGTTACTAACTAGGCAAAAAGGAAGTTACAGTAACCCATCAAGCCTAACACTTAAACCATTTCTCCTGGCCCAGAAGATTTTTATTCTCAAATCTGTGGGACTTGCAGGCTTCTTGTGTCAGTCCTCATAATACTTTTTCCCTTTGTTTTGGGGGGTTATTTTAAAATTCAAAATTGAAGAAAACTTCTTGCTGAAAATTATCCAAATCCTTCAAGCATCTTCACCATTGTTAGTGAAATGCCCCAAATAGTGTCTGACCACTCATTCTCAACAGCACTACATTAGTACATGAGAGGTGCTGCTCACCCGTTTCTGAGCCACACAACTATTTTGCTTCTCCACAGGGCCGTTTTTCCAGGCTTTCTCCTTGGCAGGGCCTGCCGCCAGCTCCTGGTGCAGGGTTGTTGCACTCGCGGGTTCGAGTGCTTTCTCCACTCACGCAGGCAGACCAGGCGCTCCAGCAGCTCCAGCCTCCGTCGGAGGCAACTGATCCTAAGATTCAGAATCAGCATCTCTGATTTGAGCAGGGACAACACTATCATTAAACAGACCTTCTTTTGAGGGTGGTTCAGGTGGACCATGGTTCAGTTCTTGCTTTCTCAGCTACGGTGATTCTACAGATCATTGCATATTCCAGCCTACAGCCCATCTGCGCAGGCTTCACTTTTGAAAGGTCTGTGCCAGCAACACTTCAGAGCTTTCAAAATTTTGTCCCCCTAGGAATGATTCTGGAATATTGAATATTTTTTTGCCCCCTGAAACTTGGCCATAGAGAATGAATTTACTGCATAGTAAATTTTTAAACAGTTGTGGAACTGCGTTTGTATCTTCCCGTTTGTGGATCAATCTCGTATTAAGCTAGCAGAGTAAGTATGAAATGTGATCGTGTGTTAGCAAGCAGGGTGCTTTTGCAGGACACTGAAGACAAACGAGCTTATGCCATTGTGTCTTTGCTTGAGCTCAGTTTACAGCCCTGATTCTGTGCCATTATTTCATCATGCTTCAGTAGTGCTCCTATGTACTTAATTTGGGGCATCATTCTAAGACACAGCAATGTGTGTGAGACCAAGTGTTTTCCTCATGGAAAGATCCTGGTAACTTATATTAACTGCCATACCAGTTATCCATGGAATTGGATAGCAGTAGCTGTAAGGGGGTACCATAACATCCTGAAGTTGTATTAATTTTGTCTATGTCTGTTCATACTAATAGTCATACTCATTTTAATCTGCCTGAAACGTTTACTAACCTTTAATTAGTGTAGATTTGGGAATCTGACAGGCAATTCCTTTGAAGTAGCTAGAGCACATGCACGTACAGGCTCCGTCCACCAGCATGACGGTGCCTCCATTTTTGCAAGGTTTGCATTTGCACACACTGTATTCGGTAATGTAGTCCTCAATTGCTCTTTCCAAATTTTGTTTCTTCACATAAGCATCTCTCATCTTAACTGGAACAAGTGCATGTATTGGAAAAGGCTGTAGAAGAAAATAGGCTATATATAAGAGACTGTGTGGTAGTTCTGCTTCCTTTTGATATTAACATCACTAAAGTAAACATCTGAGGAAAAAGGCTATTATCTGTCAAGATAAAGAATATACCTTAAAGTTARTTATGAACTTGAGGCCTCACCTCCATCTAATAAGAACAAAAAAGATTTTTGACACTGCAAGAGACCTAACATAGAAGAGACTCACCCGCTGCTGTATCACTACAGGGGCATCAACCAGTGACTTGGCCCACTCCACGTAGTCCTCTATGTTAACTGTTTTTACTCCTCGCAGTAGCATTTCTTTTATTTTAACTGCAAAATCAATCTTCCCTCCATCAACCAAGGAAATGACATCATCAATGACTGCATCATCTTTATATGTTGCTGTAGAAAGAAAGCAGAGAGGGGAAAAAAGGGAAACTTTAATATCCACGTATCCCTACCATTTGAAAAATCGTAGTGAAAAATACAACTTTAGCACAATTAGTCTAGTTCTTTAAAAYGACAGGAGATAGAAGAACCCTTCACTTAGTGGTCATGGTGGAATTCCACCTGTCTTTGCTTGCAGTTGTTATGAGGGAGGAAATCTTCATTTTTGCTGTTAAATCAGAAAACTCTGTACCTGAAGGCAAAAAGAAGTGGGTAGATCAGAATGTGGTAGGTTACATAAATCTTAGCCATTTGATAAAAAGCTGAAGGAAAAAAAGAGTAATACTRCTGTATTACCTGAGCTGGGCCAGAAAAGGGCAAGAACTGGAACAGAGCAGCATTTAGACAAGCTTGAAAAGTGTTGTTTGCTCAAAAGTAAATGCTTCATTCCTTTTGTCTTGCAGTTTTTATGTGGTAAAAGGTTCATCTCCAGGCACACAAAAGAAGACATAGGAATAAAACAAGCAGGGGAACCTTCGTAACCTAATCAGAGGAGGTGGGTTCTGGGTGAACCACCAGCTCTGTAGGCTGACAACAAGGCAGGTTCTTGGGGCTGCTTAGTGGGTATGGAATATTAAGGATAAATGGCTTGGGAGCCATTTATGGCCATAAATCTGGGCAGGGTACGTGTGTTTCTAAGTGAGACAACTCATGAATTTGGCTGCTAAGGAGGCCCTAAGGTTTGGGGGCCAACTGAGACCTGTTGTTCCATGGGGATGTGTGGCAATCAGAGACGAGAGGATCCAGGGGCCAGTTACTGGTTAGTCTGACTGTCTAAGGCAGCTACTGGGGAAATTCATATTGTCTATATTTAAATATATCCAACTAATGACCCTTCATTCTGATCTTATCCACAGAGGGGAATGGGATGAGGCTATAGGTGCTACTTGTGTTTCCATGAGTGCTGTATTTGTGGCTGTGGGGATTTGTGTGGCTGGCTGTGAGTACATGTATGTTGCATATGTGTGTTTGTATGTGCACCTATGTGAACATACATATTCTTTAATGTTCCTACATATTCCTACATATTCTACATACAYGAGTCTTGCTAATGGCTGCACAGGGGGCACAGAGTAACAGCAGCTTACAGCTCTGCTGGACTTGTCCTTCTGCAGTCACCTCTCAGTTTTATACAGAGAATAAAATGGTAACAGCTTTTCTTAAGCAAAGCATAAGGATATACTTACATTTGTCTTTCATCTTAATCTTTCGGCATTTATTATCATTAATATTAAAACTGGCATTCAATCCCTTATATGTTGCACCGATATCTAAATGATAGCCAAGACATTTTTTTACGTCTTCTACGGTGATCCCTGGGAGTGGAAAAAATTAGGTGATTATTACAGGGACAGAAGGCTGTAAAGAATGTAATTATATTATTCCTCTAGCATAAATTTCAAGGCTTTCCTCCTCCCTTTCTCTTATGTTTTCTCTTCTTCCATGTAATGAATTTGAGGATGATTGATGTGGCTGCAGTAAGGCAAGTGAGATATGGGGTGATTAGGAAAGACCTCCAAAAACTCATTTATGTTTTTCTTTCTACTTTTCTTTCTATTTAAAGTAAATATTTTGCCTGTCTTTTCTGCTCATCATTTTCTTTCTTTTTGCGCTAAATTATTGAATTCTCTCAGCTTATGTTTCCCAAACTCAAGTTGATTATCTTTTACACTTAATCAACGCCACTAATCTCTACGAGCACTCTTTTAAATTCCAATCCTCCTTTATTCTCTAACTCTACCACATCTTTTCTGTCAATTGAACTCAAACATTTGATCTGAAGCTTTACTCTTTGTTCAGAGACCTTATTGAAATTTGGATCTTAAAAAAAGAGCAGCATAGTCTTCAGGTGTTGAAAAGAATAATAATATAATGCATAAATGACACCTCTGCTCTATATCCTCTGAAATATTTTGAACATTGTATGGCAATATGATTCTTAATGCTTCATGCATCAGGTATTTATTTTCTGACCAAAATCAGCTTCAGAATGATCACTTAAACCCATCACAAAACCACATGTGCCTGAACTGCACAAGGGAGGATCAAGTTACTGTTTTCCTATCTTAATCAGGGCAAGGAAAATTCCAGTCTGAATATTAAAGTCTATAAAAACAATTCCAACACGATCAGCTATATCATGTGATTTCTGGGAAGTTCTTCAATTTATCTGTTATTTGGTGCCACTGCCATCCTCACAGTGATTGCAGAAGATACTGACTGGCAAAATGAATTTAAGGCTTAGGCAGATTTTGTACAAACTGTAGATTTCTTGTGAATCAGATCCCAYCACTAAATATTGTGACTATTTTGAATAGTTTTAAGATGCCTTTTTTTTTTTTTTCCTCCTCCAAGTGACATACTTAAAATGTAGACTTGCACTGAAGATGCTAGAGGTTAGAAAACAGATTTTCATCTCTGGAACTGGTGTGATTCTGAACGGATGTCRTTGATGGCACACACTGAACTGGGCTGTCCTCAGGAGAGCTCCACATAGCCATGAGTGGAGCATTCTCTGTGCAACAGTGCTAACCTGTATAGCAGAGCGAGGCCAGGAGAATACCTACCTGACTGAGACATAGCATAATCATCTAGCACGTACACAAACTCGTATTTTCCTCCCACAGCTCCAGAGACCGCGTAGTGAGTTCCATAATCTTCTAGGAATTTGAAATATTCCCCCTTATCGTATTCAGCAGGCAGAAAGTTTAGATCATCGAGGAAACTGTCTGTGAGATGGACATCTCTGCTTCGCATTTGGAATCTTCCAAGCTGAATCTTTCCTTTCACATGCAGATAGGTTTGGTTCTGGACAAATTGGGGAAGAAAGCAGGAGGTGAGAGTGCTCTCTCATACACAGTACAGCACTTCTGCTTTTATTTAGAGAAACTGCAGTGCTTTAAAACGCTATATTCAAGCTAATATTTTGGAATGGAGACAAACTTTTTAAAATGAAAGTTCTATAAAATGTCCTGTCCTGTAGAGGTCTAAATTTTAACTAAGGAAGTAGGAAGAAGCTTAGCTAATTTCTGTAGTTTACAGAACTGCAAAGCTGTCTGATAATTCAGTAAACCTTTGTGATCTGTTTGATGACAGGTTCTTCTCTGTAAATACACTATCTACTGCAAGTAGATAACTAACTTCATTTTATAAATAATACTACATGGCTTGCCATACAGCTAACAGAAGCTGTCCTGACCTGCACACTGAGGTCAGCTGGAGTTTTGCCTTTGTCTGCAAGGAGAACAGAACCAAGCTAGCTGTTTTTGGAATCACTTCTCGATTATTGTCAGGCTGCCTGAATGAAGAGCATTGCTCCAATCAAGAGGGGAGGGGGAAAAAAAAAGGAAACAGCATCACAAGATGAAAATTAATTAGGAGAAAATCCTTGGGACATGTGACCCATATGTATATTCTGACTTGAATTTCATGCTCTATATGGCCATAAATTACACTGCTGATGATTTGATATCAGCCTCAGCTAAAGCCTCTCTGCTGCATATGATACAGGATGTCTTGTAGAATGGGAACATTTAAGGCCGTAAACAAAGCTGCCAAGCTCCATTACATCTGCCTTGCTTATGTAGGTTCCTTCACTGTAGTGTCTAATAGGAAGTAAATAAGAGGGATTTAGCCATTGGCCACCAATAAGGTGGTGCTACTTAAGAGATCCTAACCCTTCCACTTAACTGTTGTTTAGAAATGCTGGAAATTTGCAGACAGCTAAATTTCAGTGAGGAAGTGTTTGTGGGTTCCARTATTTCTGCTACCAGCCAGTACAAAAATCTCTACTGATGTTCCCAGGCTGCTCGGGCTCCAGCTGGCACCTGAGGCCTGGCAGGRTTCTTGGGCCAGGGATTCCTGTTGTGCTGCCTGCAGCAATGGGAGTTTATGGTGCTAGAGGTCTGCCTGTGAGGGATTCCCACTCAGGTTTCTGGACTGATCTCAGAGCAAGGACTTGATGCCAAAATTTGCATTACAAGTCACTAGACAATGAGTGGTCTGAAAACCTCCTGAGATACAGGACCAAATATTTTGAGTCTTCCAATATACTTTTACATCTTGGCTTCCTCCCCAAGAATTAACCTGTATCAGTACACTGCCAGTATCTTACATTATTTTATTCAACGTGTATGTATTCAGCATTATTTTAACTAACTAGTTACAAAATTTATCTTACTTTTCCAAGAAATCTATTTCATCTCCTAGTCTCTGAAGGGTGGCTTGAAGAGAGGGGGAAAAAAAAGGCTAACAAGAAACTGGAAAGTTTGAATTACTTGAGGCAAATATATTCTGCTAAGACTATTTCTGTACTAGCAAATAAAATGGGATAGGGTCTTTTAACTACATCTACCTTGCTTCTCCAAGCTCACCTACCTTTAGGCCTACTCACTGGCAACTTTTTATCCCAGGACTTGGTCTAATTTGTCCACTAGCTGCATAATTAAGAGGAAAGCAGAGATCTCTGGCCCTTCCTAGTGCTGAGGCTCCAGTGAAGGCAGCTGCTAGTTGATGGAAATAGCAGAAACAATGCTAGATTTGATTAGGCTTTTAGCCATCCACCTCTGAAATCCCAACCCTAGTACTGCCAGCATTTCATTTTTGTGAATAGATAACAGAAAATTAGTAAGCAACTACAATATTTAGAAAGATTATTTTTTTTTCCCCTGACATTATGTACGTTTTACTGTTTGTAAAATCATTACCTTAAAGCATGATCAAACTTACCCTTTCTGTGATGCTTTTCAGGACTGAACTCAAATTTGAATTCTTGCTGTAGTAGTAYGTTAAATTCCCTTGCACGGATCCTTTGTCACTTGCCTCAGTAGGTGTGTATTTCACAGACAGACCCGCATTAAAATTTCTCTTTTCCTCTATGTAAACCTCTCGGATCATTTCTGCACGATCATGGTAATACTCTGCTGTAAAGGTTTTGTCTGCTTTTGTCTTAGAAAAGATGATGAAAAAATTGCATGAGTAGTTTAAAAAGAAAAAAAAAAGGCAGTAACAACAGTAAAAGAAAATCAGAAAATCTATGTAGCACTTTTAAGTTATATATTTTATCTATGTTATCAGTACAAAAAATATATAAAATGGATGTTGATATGAACATAGCAGAAGGATGTAAAGGATGTAAACCTGTGTCACTTTGTATGCTGGTTGCACAGTCTTTGAACACGCAGTGTAACACAAAGAGCTGAGTTTTTCTCTGAATACTGATGTTGTTCCATAGAAGGTACTGATGAAGGCTACATGATGGCATTTTGAACTAGAAAATTATTTTTTCACCCAAAAAAGAAAATCTCAACATTTCCTAATCTACAATCTGCAATCTGAGTTTCCACAGTATTTGGGTAGTCAGACAGCAAAATTTTGTTTTGTTTTCCAAACACCTGAGCAACCAGCCTTAGAAAATTGGGTTTGTTCTCTGCATCACGTGTTGAATATCCCAAACTACAACTCAGTGCAAAAAAAAAAAAAAAAATAGCCAAAAAGCTGCACCCTGTGGAAGAACTTGAATTTAGTTTGATAAAACTAGTAAAGAATCTTCCAAAGATTTATGAAGATGAAATAATACATAACATTTCAGAGAAATCTTATCTGTATTTGCATCAGAAACTGCCTTTATGACAGATCATTTTTAAATATTTTTTAAATTAAATTCCTACTCTTTTCACTAGAAGCACCTTTTAATATCAAAAACCATAGCCTAACTTGGAGTATTCATCAGCTATAACTAACACTWAGCCTGATTCCCCCTTTTCCCTCCCAATCCTTAATTCTATTTTAATTATTTCTGCTTTTGCAAGCTATGAGGAAAAGCCATAAATACTCAGTTTTTGGTATTGGCATGAAATGTTTCTTAGAGCACTCACAAATGAAAACAAGTACAAATACAGCCCTCCTCCTGCAAAGCTGAGTTCAAAACTGAGCAGAAAGCTGTGAGGACAACGTTTCAGTRAGTGGTGAGGCTCAGCATCTAACACTGTCAGCGTAATTTGTATTTGTCAACAATTCCCTTACACTTAGGGAATAATAGGCTCCAGATCATTCTTAGAGTGAAACGGGAAACAAGATTTAYATACACATATTACATAAACATTCCAGAAAGCAACTTTCATGTGCTATGTGCAAATGTAGCGTGAAATGCAATGGAGACTGGTTTGGAGCAACTGAGTGTAATTGCTAATGCAAAGGATAACCCAACCGGTCGCCCTCTAGGCCTTATGAAAGCTGAAGAGCTTCTACCACCTGACTCAATGGGCACGTGGGGCCTTGTGAGAGGAGGCCAAGCTGCAGCCGCAGCTCAGCCGGGCGGCTCGGGAGCRCTTACGTCGTAGATGAGCACGCCGACGTTCCAGGGCTTGCGGTAGTAGGTGCGCGTGTTGCCGTCGCGCACGCGCTCGCACAGGCCGTTGAAGAAGTCGTTGTCGAACGGGCTGGCCAGGGGCTGCATCCCTAAAATATTGATCCTGTGGCAGAAAAAACGAGAGGCTGCACTTCGTAAAAGCAGGTGGGAACCATTTTCTGTCTCTAAAAAGAGGTGGAAACCATTTGTTTTTTAAATGATATATATTTGGGGAGAAGGGGGAGTCATTCCTAGGTTTGAAACAGCTACTTTTACTTATTTGTGAYTTGTATGAGCTTGTTGCTGATAGGAACTTTAAAAGGAAACATATACTAGTCCCATCAATGCTGTACCCCTCCTGGCTCTGCTCTCTTCTTCCAGGGAGTGACCTGCTGGARTAGCAGAATCTCCTGGGACAGGGCAGAGGAAGTAAATTGGATTGCAGTAAATCCAGAGAACAGGGCACATAGAGCTATGCAAACAATATGCCTCTGTACCCGTATACAAGAGCTACTGCTAAAACAACTTCTTCATGTGAAATTTCTTTTTTTTTTTTTTTTCCCTCTCCTTTTTTTCACCCTTAGTTGTTGCCTTTCCACATCTGTTTTATCCATTGAGACCTTTCCAGAGGCCATAATATTTATGTCTGATACATGTTCATATTTCTAATGGGGTATAGAAAACAGCTAGCGGTTCACCAAAGATGTCAGCGTCAAAACTGCATTTTTATACAGCATTTTCTCATGAGAAACTAAAGTAATAAATTATAATAGAAATAATAAAGTAGCTATGTCTAAGAATGCCTATAGCTCTGGCTCAATTCCATACGTTACAAAGGCAGCATTTTACCTCTTGCAATAGTATTTAAATGAAATGGAGAATGTACCCTCTTATTTAAACACAAGGTGGTGCTGTGATATATTTTTATTTCAATCTGTTGCAGTTTGGATAGCTGTGTTATTATTCAATTTGTAGATAGGCAGTATGTGCTACTTTTGCTTTATTTAAAGTAGAGGAGATCCACCAGAGTCTGAGAGCAGGAGAGTCACTTTCAGTTTAGATTTATGAGAAAGTTGCTGTAAGCAGAAAATGTCTGGGAAAGTAAAAGATTTGGTGCCAAAAAAACATTGCAGGCAGCAATGGAGCCTGTCCTGTAAAATGATCAAGACRCATTTTTTCCCTCTAATATGTACATTAGTGAAATCATTGGGAGCAGCTAAGTCTTTATGACACTTGAAAAGATGGAGGAAAGATAAAGATTATATATAAGCATTGTTTGCTTATGCATATAAATGTAATTTATATATATGTTACTAACATAGTGATTTATTTAGTGTTTGTAGTCTGGATAGGTATTTAATCATCCCAATCTGTACAACAAAAACCATAGGTAGATGTTTTTCTAAAGTCACATTGTGTTTCTGAGCTTCCAAAGTCACATAGTGTCCCTGAGAACTTCGGTGCGGTCCCACCAGGGGCAATAGAAGCCCCTCGCCTGGCCACCTACCCTTGTCCCGCAGTCATGCCTATTTCCGACACGTCAATGTCGTGATTACGGCAGGGCGACCGCGGCTCTGACTCACAGTTATCCTCATCAGAAAAGTCTCCGCAGTCATTATCCACGTTGCACACAAGACGCTGCTTGATGCATCGACCTAAGCAAAGAAAAAACATTGAATGAATCCACTTTGTTTTCTAAGATAGATGTTTTCTGGGATGCACCTTCCCCCTTCTTCACTTGCCCCCCACCCCAACTATTCCTTCCTAAGATCTGCCTCTCATTTTCCTTATTGTCACAAGGAAATGGAATCCTGTACCCAGCACTGCAGAAAACAAATACTATGAAATTGGCTTATTAGCTTACTGGGATAACTAAAAAAATTAAGTGACAGGAGAACTGCTGTCATTTGCAGGAAGTTATTATTTTGACTGTTTCTATTTTCATCTTTGATTATTAGATTTTAAAAATTGTATTAGGAGAGTACAGGAAAGTATTAAGTCAGTTATCAACAAAGAGTTATTTCTGAGATGTTTAATTTGCTGCTATTGGGAGGGCATGAACTTTGAGTTGTGAGTTGTGTTCTAAAGCAGCAGTGACGAGTTAAGTTGAGGTCAGGTAGGGTTTCACTGTAGGTTTCAGAAAGACTGACGTTTTTCTCTATAATTTAAAGATTTGGGGTAAACTTAATCCTAGTTTTATAAAAAGACAATTGCTCCTCTCAGCTTGCCTGTAGAGTGCCACAGAATGGCTTTGAACTACTATTCAACATATACTTTATAATTTTCATTTCTCTACTTGGACTTCATAGCATTTGAGATACAGTTAATATTGGCAATGGCTTGGGACACAGAATCCACCCAGCATCTTTACTTTTCAGAATGATTTTATTACTTTTAATATGTCCTATCCATTTTGATTTGTGAGGAGTCTTAAAGATTACACTAATACATATTCATATCTGGTTCTACCAATTTACATTTTATTGGGGATCCAGAGGCATTCCAGTCTCCAGCAGACATGTACAGAACTGCTGTGGTCACTTAAACTTCCCTACCACTTAAACTGTGGTCAAAGTTCTTTCAGCTCTGTTTTTTTCCACTGATTTTTCATTAAACTTGAGAGTATTATCCTAGTGGAATGGATATGCTGAAAGGAAGGAAACTCCTAAGAAGTCAGCTTTTCCCCCCAAATAAACAAAGCACTGAACATATACCTTTCTATCTGTGAATTCTTATTGACTTCAATGGATATTGGCTAAGCTTCTTCATAGAACTAAATAAAAAGCAGTTTGCTGGGTGACTGCACAATTCATTATAGTGTGAAAACAAAACCTACCAGAATCGCATTGAAAGTCAGTACCACAGTCTGCTTCGGGTGCCTCTGGACAGACCTGGCTGGTTTTACAGCTTTGTGAATCTCTCAAGGTCTCCAGACATGGTTTTCCACCAAACTGTCCAAATTTTTCAATACTTCTGGACCGAAACTTGAAAGATAAGTAACAGAATGAACATTTCTTAGAGAGGAGAAAAGAAAAGCCAAAAATAAGGGATTTCCAGCTGAACTTTGAGCTTCCCAGAACAAAGGCTCTTCGGTGAGATTTTTGTTTGAGAAATAAGTACTTGTACAGCAACATTGAATTACTGTTTTAGCAAACATACAGAGATGCTTATTTTTCACTGTTTTATTTACAAGAAATCCAAGGAGAAAGTTGCATCAGATTTTATATGCTTTCAAATCTGTGCTTAGAAGGTAATTCTAGCCCTTGAATTTCATATAGACTGCATACATTTGGATGAATTTACATAATTTGTAAATCTGCCTCTGGACGTCACTGAAACTTTACCTGCCACCAGTAGGCATTGGCTACTTTTAAGGTCCTGGGAATTAGTAGTGATTTGGGGACTTGGAATTCTTGCAGCTTCACATAGCAAAACAATGATACAATCAACAAGGAACTGCCTTGCGTGTTTTTGAACCTTCRTATGAAGAACTCCTTTGGGAAAGCAAAAATCTAGTTTTAAGTATTTTTGTCAAAGAGGAAAAAATATTAAAAATTAAATTTCTTAATAGAACCATCCCCATGCCTGGGGAAAAAAAAAAATATTTCCATCAACAAAACCTTGTGAATGCTTGACCAATTTTGTACGCTGGCTGCAGCCTTCCCTTGTTACTAAGGCTCCAGGTAGTGATGGCTCAAACGCTGAAGCTTTCCCCCAAATCATGCACGTACCTTTGGCACGTATTAAGGGCTGCCACGTGCTGCTTTCCCCAGCCCCAGAGGCTGCGTGGCCGCCCGTGTCTTACCCTCTGGTGCGTGCACGGGTCGCAGGGCCCCCACTCGCTCCAGCTGCTCAGCTTGCAGTCGATGGGGGCCGGAGCGCTCGGCTCTCTTCTCATCCTGGGGAAAACCTTCTCGGAAGAGCTGTCAGACAGAACAGTGCAGCACAGTGCTGGGCAGGACACTGAAGCTGTTCTCAAACCATAGGCCAATGTTTGGGGAGCTGCTTCAAGCTGCTTTTAGGCCTTACTTTTGAAGCAATGTRGGGTACTTAATTTTTCAATTTTAAAGCAGTTTGAAAGAGTTTATAAAAGTCGAAGATTATTTGGGTTCTGAGCTGCCTGCTTTGCTCTCTGATTTATTTCTTTTGCCTAGCATGGAATATTCACTCCTTACCTGGTAATCATTTCTGCACGCTGCAGGTTAATGCTGGGTTCTCTGCTCTACCGTGGGAACTTGTGAGCCCAGTGTGTTTGTAAGTCTGCAGCTCCCCTTGTCTGATACATGCATTTTTTTTTCTCTCCAGGCAGTGCTTTGTCCTGCACTCCTTGACCCCTTTCCCTTGTACAAATATGCCAGGTGACCAAATAAATGTAACCTGATTCCACAAAATTGAGAAATCTGTAGTTTGGATAAAGAAGATACCAGTCTGTTCAGCCTTCTATTGCCATTTATTGTATGTTAATGCTACATGCCTACTGAGATGGTGCTGAGACACCAAGTTGACCTGTGTCACTCTCCAGTCATTGAACCTTAAGCAGCTCTGTGGTCACACACTTACTGTGCAACCCGTTGTAGGCCCTGCTCACGCTGCTGGGCTCCCGGGTTTTAGGCACTTGGCTGAGTGCAGATCCACTGCTGCTCCCAGCACTTTCCCCCTGCCCCACTGCCTCAGAACTGCCCTCTTCCCAGGGCTTAAGCTAAGAGGGGCTAGGGCGTGTCACGAGACAGGCCTTGCAAACCTCCCAAACTCAAGGCTGGGAGGGAAGTGTAAACTTTGCTGTATGCAAAACATAGGGTAGTGGGGTGGGTGGCCCAGGATCCACATCCAACAGAGAAGTGCAGTGTAAAGAAAGGACAGGGGGAGAGGAGCTCAAGTACTGAAGAACATTACTGACAGCAGGAGGAACTTCAGAGACAAAATGTCTTCTCTACTAACCCTGACTGGGGACTTTTGAAGCAGGGAACAATGCTCTTTGAAGGAAGAAAACCCCAAACATTTCAGCTTCAGTGCCTAGAACTCCTTGCACTTTGTCCAGCACTACACATGTTCCTGCCATCCACTTTTACTGGTGATGTGGCAGTGATGAGAGCCATTTTGACCATCTGTTAGCAAGCAGGACATGAAAAACATTGTTTGGTAGTTAGCATTGGTCAACAGAGAAGGCAGAGCTCTTTCAGGGACACACTAGCATCATATCAAGGCACCTATACAAGCTGCAACTGCTGGTGCTGTAACACAGCAGCACACACAGTGGTAGGATAGGTACTCAAGCAGCTGGCCCATATAATAATTATGTCTCCTGACCACATTCTTTCTAACTAAACAGAAAGCTTTAGCTGGATCTAAAAGTTTAAGCAATAAGAATTACCAAAGCACCATGCTGAAAGCAAAACATTGCATATGGCTCTGAAAATGCTTGTAGCCCCTCTGGGTACTTCAGACACTGTTGAAAGCCACCCTCAGCTCTAGACCCCTGCACATAAAACATCTGTCCAGACAACATTCACGCACGATCATTAAGTTTTGTTCCTAGTACAGTTCCAGTCTTAAAGCAGAGGCATCTAAGCTTATTCTTAGCTGCAAACAGCTATTATGGGATCCTTGGATCCTTCCTACTTCATTCAGTACTGATAATTCTCATAAGTGAGACACAGACTAAGTAGATACGTGTCAGACCAGGTAGCTCTTCTGGCATTTTTATGTAATGTTTTTATATGGACTAAAGCCCTCACTTCTCCTTAAGATGCTGCAGTGGGGAAGGAGATGCAGGGGAGGACAAAGAGGAGTTGTATGACTCAAGAACCAGAGAGAGGTAGGCTAGGAGATCTGAGATACTAGTGTAACTACCATCAACAGAAAATTKAGCACCTTCAGAAAGGTGTGAGGCAGACCAATTGTGCTTTCACCCTCAGCATGCAATAAAAGACAACTGCTGCTTGAGCTCCACCTTCCTGCTGGAAGATGCTCAGATAGCTTTGGCCCCTGTTGTTCTGCCACACATCTGTACAAGTCCCATTTGGATCCTCTTGAAAGAGAGGAAGACATCTCCCTTTCAGTTAGACTGACAAATAGATTAYCCATGGAAGTGTTTGGATTTTAGACTGATGCTCTGTGTTGGAGAAATGTTGCACTACAGGGACCTGCAAAAGACCAAGGACACTTACCTTCTGCTTTCCCCCAAAAGTGAGGCAGCCACCTCAAAAATGCAGAGTGCAGAGATAAGCTGCAAAATAGCATGCATGTTTCTCATCTTGCCGCTGAATAGAGAAGAATCGTCAGAACTGAATCTAAAAACTTCTTTATTTGTTCCTTTTGTTATTTATTACCAAGAGAGCAAACAAAGCAGTASTTGCAAACAACAAAAATCCTAACCAGTTACTGGCAGAACTGACTTACGGTAAATGCTCTAAAGTTCACTTTTTTCCTCTGTGAAGGCTGGTAAATGCATAAAATACTTAACTGGTTTTATTTACTAGCATCTTTAAAAGCAGGAGGGGAAAAAAAATATCTATTCAATTAGAGGACAGCTAACTGGCTCRTAAAAGCAGTTAATGCAGTGACTTGCATGAGGAACAAATAGTCCATAATTATTTTTAAGAACAGGTTCAGGTTCTAACATGTTCAGCATCTTCCTGGGGAGCCATGAAGAAGCCAACACAAGAGAACAGCACATAGTTTTAGTGTTTTTGGAGGAGCTTAAAACTCTGCTAGCCTTTACTATCACCAAAATCTAAACCACAGGWTAGCTTCTTAGAAGGCGTTCTTGTTCAGAAGTTTGCCATAATTCAGACTTAAGGCATCATGTGTTGGACAGTCACAAGATAGAACTAACTCGTGAATAAGCTGCTGTTTAGCAGTGAAAACTTAAGTATCTTGACTCAAGCTTAAAATGATCATGTAAAATAAAGATATTTCACAATGTTGAGTAGATCCAAAAAAAAAAAAAAAAACCACCCACACACCTTACTTTTGATTCCATCTCCACACTCACCTTTCAGTGGAAGAGAGTAAGGGCAGGCTATATTTTTTTTCCCAACCCTTTACTCAGGAGAGTCCAGGATAGGTAGATCCTTGAAGCAGCTATGAATACACTATAATATTACATGTAATGCTATGTATAATTGACACAGTTGGGGATGATTGAGGCTTTTTTTTTTTTTTTTTTTTTTAAGTGAACAGGCATTCAAATTAAGGTAGCAGACCAGCAAGCACATTTGACAAGCTTTTAAGAGGTCCTTCTGACCCAACTCATAGTTCTGCAATAGTTTAAGCTAGGTTGTCAGAATGACAACTACTAAGTCATAGTACTGCTGTTAGCATTAGCATGGCTAACACTCATAGCTCATTTTGATGGTTAGCTCAATACTCATCTTGATACTTGGCTCAGCTGCTTTGGTGTTCTAGCCTTATACATCAAGTTGACAGTTTTAAGTTWGTCTCCAGTACTATAGTCTAATCTAAAATGGTAAGTTTAATGCCTAAGAGTTAATCCATCTTCATTTGAAAAAAAAAATAGAAAATTTGTTCTGAGCAAGGTAGACATTCCCTCTCCCCCTTAATTCAGTTTCCCTCTTGTCAAATACCTCTTAMAAGCACTTGGAATAGATACATTGAAGGGAAGAAATGAAGTTGTCTAAGTTCATGAAAATGTCTGCTGGCTTCCAGTCTTGGAGAAGAGGATAAGAAAGCATCTTTAGCCTCAGAAGTCCTGAYCAACTCAAGCTGTCCRTTGGACAATGGGATGAACTAGTAASAGCTTACTTTATATATAGCTGAGGCAGCCTAGGAGGCTGCTCAGACCTAGGCCTTACCCAAAAAGTTACAGCAAAGCTTAAGACCATGCTATAAGATAGTCATATTAAGAAAGAGCAAGACAAACAATTCTTAGAAGTCTCTGAACACCAAATGCCAGCAAGGACACAGGGTTGAGTTTACAGGACAGAATCAACAGCCACACTTATGTTCATTTGCTATGAAGAGTTGCTTCTTTTTAATGTCATTAAGTAACATCATTTGAGATATGACAGTTTTATAACATTGTAACAACCATAAGTTTCTGTATTTCCAGTTTGGGACAAATAATTCATAGCTTTTTTTGCATTACAGAAAGTGCAAAAGAGGTTTATATACAAGACAAATTGCATGACTGGCTGGATTGGGTACTAAGGCTGTCTTCAAGTTGATTTTTATAGCTCTCCAGTTCAGCTTAGGCATTTAACAACACTATTTCAAGTTTATACTTAATATGAACAGAAAGACTCACACATCAGCCATCACTACTGGCCAAGAAAGTAGCTGTTACAGTTGGTTAAAAACCAACTGATTTAAAGGTCTGTTAGTAAAGAAGTTTGCTAGAAAAGGCACTGCTTTCAAAGGGATGGAGAACTACCTTACATTGAAGGCACARAGGTGATTTATCTATTCACAAGGAACCTAGGCATGGAGTGAAGCCTTGATTGTCTTTGTTTTCTAACATATTGGAACACGCCACACTGCCTGGTGTGACAACTCAAACTGAGCAATGTCAGGGACATTCACTGAAATATAAACAAGAAGCCTATCTGCTTGTTCCACTTGTCTGCCAAGCCACCTTAAAAAGAGAAAAAAAAAGTAATTTCCTTCCCTAAAAAAAAAAAAAGCCATATTAGCACCAAGACAATGTTTAGTGTCCATGACTACCTGGAGGCTCCGCAAAATGCACTTCAGCTTACCTGGCTCTATGGCTCCAGTACCCTCAGAGCTCTGAGGCGGGCAAGTTTGGTCAGTTCCACAGCCCCATGGCTTAGTCACCTTATTACACACTTAGGGCAGACTGCTAGCTTTACCATTTGGTGAATAGGCAACTATTAGATTTTTCCTACTACACAGTTTACCTCCTTGTGGCTCAGAGACCAAGTCATATGTCCAGTCACCAACTAGAAGTGAGTAGTGTCCACCAAACTTTACAACTAGCTGCTGCTGTGGTAACATGCACTGACCTAGTTGTTAAAGATGTGGAGTTATAGCTACCAATTCAATTCCCTCATGTGAGCGTAGCATTTCTTTCCCCAGGTACATTCAGTTCCTATATTATAGGACAGTAAGTGCTACAGAAACAGGAATTGAGGTGACCATATTTAAGACAGCATGACTTAGTGTTGCTAAGCTCTTCCATGGAACACTGCCAAGACTAAAATAAAATTACCATCCACCAATTTGAACCGGGGTGTGCAGCATGAGTCCAACTTCCCACTTGCTTTGCCCTGAATCTTCTTCACAGCATATTCTTTGAGGGCTCATTTTTCAATCCACTTGGACGTGTTTTAGATTACAGACATCGTGGAATGGCAGCAAGAGCAGCAGACAGCAAAACGAAACAAGTAGAAAAGTCACGTTGAGAAGAGATCCAGTTATTCCATTTGTCCTTTTCTGGTTATGCCTAGTATGGTGAAAAGGACTTAGTATTAGGATGGTTAAAATTAATAGTTTTACTGCTTAAAAAAAGCATAGAGCTTTTAAGAAAAAACACACCTAAGGTGATAAAAACCAGCACTTAATTTCTGTTAGAAGCTAGATTTCAGGAAAAAAGTGTAGAAACATGGAATAGGGTTGCTAGTTCAGCAGTTCATGTTCTCTGGTCAAGGTTAAGACAATCACACACACAGAAACCATACCTCATTCCCTCCCTCCTCCCAAAACCACAAACCAACACACTTCCCTTTCAGACTTGCATTAGTCTCTAGTGACAAATACCTCATAACTACACTTGTTTTTACTCTCACTTGGAATATAAATCCTGAATATTTAGGGGAGAGCTATGTGGCACACTGCTAACACCACACTTAAGGAAATACCTGAAGGTATTTAGGTCAGTACTTTGGAGTTTTGCAGCACATTTACTCATTAACTTTTCTCAGTGAAAATTAGTCTAAACCTCTTCTGGCCTTGAAATCTAAATTCACAGAACATCAAGATCCTTATTTCTAAGGAAGGGACACTGATTCAGTTTACCTAGAAAGAAGCCTTTACAAGTTTTACTAGACATATTCTAGCAGAGTATTCTTTTAGGAGCTAGGCAAGTGCTTGCCTTACTTCAAAGGGGCATTCCAGTTAAGCCAGTGTCATCTTCTACACAGCTCTTTGCCAAAAGTTTTCCAAACCAAGTTCAAAGCACAAAGTATGTTATATATTAGTGGAAAACTTACCTGATCTATGCAAATGGGTTGCCAAAAGGATCACCAAATGGACCAGAAGGTGGTTTCTGAGATTCCTTCTAAGAGAAAGACCATAGCCAGTTAGATTCAGGTTTCACCAGGTTTACTCTAGAGAATTAAACCAGCCAGTTCCTGTTCCAAACACTCTGCAATGTTCATTACGTAAGCACCAAGAGCAACACTGAGAAAAGCTGTCTAAAGCCATGTTGTAGTTATCTATTAGTCTGAGGCAAGGTATCTGCTAGGAAGGCCTGCACACTTAATGAATACTCATTTGGAGTTGAGCCAGGACTGTCATAATGAGATCTTTTAGCCAACTGCTGAACGCTGACTTAAGATATTCTGGAACTGCTCCAGAGTTTCCATTCAGGGAATCAAATGCTGCATCCTAAGCAGAGTGATGTGGTTAAGCCACTTCCTCCCCTGGAAGATAGGAAGCAGAGGAGCCTCCCAGTTGATGAATGGGAGCTCTGTGCATGTACACTCAGTCTGCTCTGCAGAACTAAGCACAGCCCAGGTACGCCTCTTGCAGTCATGTTATTTTGCAGTAGCTCACAACACAGGAGTGAAGGACTCCCCAGTAGTGCCTCCCAGCTCAGGACACTGGCTACAAATCCAAGGCAAGCGGAATTTTTCTTTGTTAACCCTCTTGCAAGTAATGCCCTGCTACACTAGATATTAGCCTCAGATATAGAGAGTGTTTTGTTCTCTGGTTTCTAAAACTAGAGCAGACTGGCCCTCAAATAGAGGTTTTCCCTACCTCAAGAGGAAAACATGCTTTTTATTACTTACAGTGGAGGTGGTGAAAAGGTCTGTTTTAGGCTGACTTTCAAAGAGGCCGTCAGCTGGCACAGCAGTCTGTCGAGGAGCAGGCTTTGGAGGTTCTGGGGAGAGGAGACATACTGCTGCATCACCAAACCTTTCAGACATGTACCCAGCTCTGTCTGTATAACAACTCCAGCTAGTCTAGTACACACTGCTTTTAGTAGTCCAGTAATTTTATGTCCTGCCTTCACTTCAGTACATTTACTCTAGACAGAACCTAGCTTGCTTGCATGGTCTACTTAAATAGTTTAGTCACTAGGTGTCAGTGTTTGGCCA